GATTTCGGTGGAATTCGTGGTGGAAACAGTTATTTACAAGTTAGTGTCTCGCCTACAACGTCAGCTTGCGTTGTTCAACTTAGAATTTGGTGAAAATCAACGTTTATCGCATAAATGTCCATAAGGCAGTAACATTACTCCGCAATTTGTCAGCAATAATTTACAGGTTTCAGCGCGTGGTCGTCGATTACACATTCTGTCTGCACAGGCTGCGGACACCGATCGTTTCACTTGCTTTGCGAGAAATTCGGCTGGGGAAGCGCGTAAAAGTTACGATCTGAAAGTTTTAGGTAATCGCATTGATATTCTCGTCTGAAACATGCGACGGTTTTTCAGAGAATTCCAGTTGCCTGCTGCTTCTGAAGCGCAGTGGACGATAAATGCAATGTGCATGCATTGAATATTTTATTAGAGCGTTTAACAGTTCACGAGTACGACTCAATAATTTGCATTCGCTGCTGCAGTCAGTTACAGAAGAGTGATAATGCAAATCTTGCAGCAACAACTTTTCTTTTCCGATCAGTTAATGATGAAACGAGATTGTTCATCTGACAATTGTGTAACTGAAACATTCACTCATTGCAATCAGGCTCATTTGCCAACCCCGCTCTGATAAGTCGTTACACGTCTGTGCTTATCGAGGCTACTAAATTCATGCCGAGTTTCAGTTCGTCCAACAATCAACGAGAGCACTTCATCGCTACCCTTACAAACAATTATACCGGGAACTGCGTTTGCCGTTGAATGTAAAGTGGAGGCAATCCCAGATGCTGAGGTCTGTTTGTTAATCCTGCTGAATATTTGAAAATAATCAAACGCCTAGCACCTTGACACTGAACAGGCGAACGCTATTCGGTTTTGTATTTTTTTNTTTTTTTAAAGCACATTCGTTGCTTGATCGGTGCAGTAATGGCATTTTATAAAGCAGAAAAATCTGATTGGCTACATAACTTCACTATTTCGTTGAACAGTGGAGTAATGTAGTCGCTGAGATTTTCCTGTTCAGCCATTGGGATTTTTAATGTTTAGTTTGTGCTGAGATATGTCATTTCCCTGCTAGTCGCTGAGATTTATTACCGATCCCATTTTCAGTGCCACTCGCATTTATACTTTTGTGAACCTTTTCAAGAAGGGAAACGGCTGGGCATAACTTGCTCACTTGTTCAGTTTTCATCATACTTTTTCGACTAAATAACTTCCAGTTTTCCAATAGCGTTTGAACTCCATTTTATCCTTGCTATCGTTGAAAACAACGAGTTCCCTATTTTAGCTGACTCACGCGCTCTAGTCTTTCAGCCAGAAAGCTCTGCGCTTCGCAGTTTGTGGAACACAATTTCCGATTTCTTCCAGTGTTTTCCAGCAATGGTACAGATGAGCTATAAAACTCCTTATGTCGTAATTCCATATGAATTCATATTCATCTCCTCAAAACTCACGAGCTTCCAGTCTGTTTTTAACTTTGCGTAAGCAACTCATTCGATGTAAATTTGAACATTACTTGATATAAATGAGTGTTTTTCAGAGCCCTTGTGACATGAATAGGAAACATATCATAGACTGTTTACTATGAGATCTACAAATTATTAGAATGACGATTAGATTACGTTTATAGTGTTACAAATAAAGACTAAGTTAGTCGTTTGAGTTTGATATGTAAAGGCAAAATACGAAGTCGAGTTGCTGATTGAATCTTCATGTAATAAGAATTTTGTTCGACGATTGACTACAAATTTGATCAATTTGAATTGTTGCTCTGAAAAGCCAATTTATTCATTTGGATGTGTCGGCGGTGATAGCATACGTTAATTATGTTTCAGCAAGAGCTTATCTTTATGTTCGCGTATAAATGAGCAATGACTTGAATATTGACGGTCAAATGCAATTATGACCCTATCAAATTGCTCTATATTAATCCTCTGAAATGTNATTGTTCATTCAGTTGGCTGTTTTAGAGGTTGTATTGAAGCTCAAGAACAACATCATTTCGAAACTGGTGAACATTTGTAGTTAATTAAACTGTGAACCTTTATTCATAATACATTCGGGTTCATACTATATTCCACTAGCGTCTCTTAGCAGGTTCGATTGCGAAGTGTCATTTTTCATACATAAGAAATGAGGTGGTGATTTTTGCTGAGACCTCGGCGTTTTGGTGCGTGTTAATTGATTCTTCAAAATGACATTTTACAATGGAAATGACCGTCCATACATGAAGAAGCACCGAAAATTTTTGACCGAGAAATGTGATGACGTTATTTATTTGTTTGTGTGTTGATGCGAGTAGCAAGAAACGCATTCAAGTAGAACTGAATGAAGCATTTGAATAATGCGTTATGCGATTCACTGAATGTTTGGCCATTGTCAACAACAAACACATGAATAATTTTCATTCAAATTCACTGAATGAACAATACGAAGTGAGCAGTTAGTTGTGAATAACGTATTGTTTATGCTTTCTCGAGGTAGCAAAACTGAACTGGCAAAATATCGATGGTCTTCGATAAGCGACGATCGGCATGCTGTTCATTTTATCTCCGTTCAATGGACTCATATTATCTCATGACTGAATCAACAGCATCCTTTTGGTGTTTTTGATAGGTATTCCGTAAGCAGCATCATATTTCTTTGAGGATGATGGATCTATTCATTGCATTGGCTACATTGATAAAAGATTGGCACTAGATAATATAGACGTGCCAAATCATCATGAGATATCACCATTTGGATTAGATGTGAAGACTGCATTAGCTATTCACATCTATATGTAAACGATTGTTTACGTAGCGTATTTGGCCAAAAGCGAGAGATGAAGGCACGGATAGTTGAGAGATTATCTACAGAAGAATAAGGATAGGTTTGGTTGAATGAATTTTCAAGATCATGAATCTAATGATGAAAATGAATTTCATTTTGATGAGTCATTTTTGAGAAGCAATCACAAAAAGTTGTGTTGCCTCTGGAAGGTAATTCCATCTTATCGCTAATACAGTCGATGAAGTGAATTTGTTTANGTTTCTTTGTAAAATCGCAGGAAAAATATGCAATATCATCGGAAACCAAGGTAGAAAATTCAATAAGCTGAATGCGATTATTGCTGCAACAATTTCAATTTGAATTAAATTTGTGCCTCGATTCATCTCTATGATCAAATCCTCATGAATGTTGGTATTTCTGACAACCAACAGTGATTGACTCAACATGTATTTTATCACAACACAGAGATGTAATATATTAATCAACCAATGCCAAATTTTCGAGCTGGGATGAAAAGTGCCCAACAGGCATTGTTAGGCTTATGGGCGATACTTCTTTGCCTTTTATGCAACTTCCCTTTGTTCCGTTCAGTTTTGTACATAAAGGCGGAAGTGTGCTTCATTTAAGAAAGCTTAATGGCTCAGTTGATGTGTATGAACGTTTCTGCATACTTCCTTTCACTCGAACAAGCAAGCCATCTCAGCGTGAAGCTTTTATAATCAAAACTAATGATTTGTCTGAAAACATCATTTGAAGCAAATTGCGATGGCAGTTTTGCAGTGTGCATCGAATTGCAGTCCTTTTCACAAATACAATAACATCCAGTTTTTCATAAACATAAAGTTCAATTTCTTAATTTGTCAGATTATTATTTCTCACATCGTAACTAACATTTCGGAAAACTTCAGACACATGTTCATCCGATAACTTTCCAAAAGCAGTTCAAGTAATCATCTATTATCAATTCCATGAGCGGCGTTGAAACACAAAAAAAAACATTTGATACAGCAGTGGGATATTTTCAGCATTCAATTGATCTTTGTAACAGACAGTTATGAGTAATGAACTGTTTAGATCATATGGCGCTTGAATGATCGAGCAATAGTATCGGATGAATCGGTCGTTTTGTTAAATAATAACCAAACACTATGGGTGAATCGTGCCAGTGATAAATTTGGTGGTCGTTACACATGTCACGCTAGAAACAAAGTCGGTTACGCCACTCGAGACTTCCTCGTTCAACTGACCGGTTCGTTTTCCTCCGTATCATCTTGAGTTCATTTCTCAGGTCTTGTTCGGGAACAACTCGAAATGAATAGATGAACTCAGTTTCGATAAATTAATTGTGTTCATATGCACCCATCTTGGAGTGAAAAACGTCTTGAGAAATGAATTTTGTGATCAATTTTTAGCCCCTCCGGTTCTCGATAGCGGCTCACAACATTTGGATATAAATGTTGGTGACTTCACTGTTTTAACATGCGAGATCGTTAGCGGTACTGGAACTCTATCGGTAAAGTGGCTAGTGGATGGTAAAGCTGTTCGAAACGGACCAGTCAGTCCCACAGTTACGGTCGGTTTCTGCTTTAACTTCAATTTCGGTTTGAATCTATTCAATTTGGTCCACATGTCAGGTATCTCTTCATCTAGAGATACTTTACATCATTTTCATTCAGTATCAAGTAATATAAGTTTCATATTGTCTAGAATTACATTCTTTCACAGTCAGGTACGGAAAGAGGAGAATGAGTGTATTTCTGTGAGTGTGTTATTCACTGATGTTTGTTTAACTGGGCAACTGGTAACTTTTGAACTGTCCATATTCTGCGGTGGGACTGAGTGAAGCGATCCCTCCTGAGTTGAATGCAATATTTTTGATTGATGATTGATATCTGTGGGAAAATTAACATTTCTGACTAAACATTTGCTTTTATGAAAAAGTTATGAAATAAAGTGGCCTGCCTCATTCGCGACCATTCTCCCTCATAATAGCAAATAAACTTTCACGAATAAGTAAACTGTCATTATTTATGCAATATTACTTGTGTGCTGAAGCTGCTGAATAATGCATGAGTAAGGAATGCTAACAACTGCACTTCTCATCATTTATTAATCGTTGTAATCGAAAGATATCCAACCACTTGCAATTATCAATTTGTATGATACGAAGCTGAAGCGTGTGTCTTGTCAGATTCATTCAGCTCAAGATCTTTTACGGAGAAGTCAACGAAAATGTTGCGCAAAATAAGACGAAGGCATGAACGAAATGCAAAAGAGTGATGATTTCCACATTTTTAAGCATAGATACGAAGATAACCAACTTGACCGGTTTAGAATTACCTCACCTTAGCCCTGAGGTTACCTTTCAAGGCTACGACGTACAGTGCCCAGCCTTCACACACGTCATATGAGTAACGTCCGTCCAAATGATCGAAATTTTGGATTGCCACAAAAATAGAACATTCAAACGGCTATTTTGAGATAGCATTAATTTATTTTGAAAAAAACGAAAACAGTATCATTCAATCACAGGTGAGTGACCGTCGTATTGAAATACGTAATGCTCGTCTCAGTGA